TTTTTTTTTTTTTACAGGACAAGAGGCAGTTCCCCCCGTGGACCCTCAATGGAATCCTGAAACTGAGAGGTGGAAAATGAAGCACTGCCAGTTTTGTATTATAGAAGGCTTCAGACATAGTAAAACAAGCCTGTAAACTACTCTAAATTAACCACCATTAATCAAGGGGCTGATGAAAACCCCTTGGCTTTTCCAGAAAGGCCCAAGGAGGCGTTGGCTAAGTATACTAACATTATCCCAGATTCAAAATTCGGACAACTAATTTTAAAGAACAAATTTATCACTCAGGCTGTCCCAGACATCGGGAGAAAATTGCAGAAATTGGCTATTAGTCCCAAGAATACTTTAGAGAATCTCCTGAAGATTGCCGCCTCTGTGTTCTATAATAGAGACCTGGAGGAGGAAAAGAGGAGAAACAAGAGAGACCAGACTAAGGCTACAGAAATAGAGAAGATCATAGTAGCCAGGCTTTGGGAAAGCAGAAGCCCCCAGTCAGAGCCCAGAGGCAAACGGTCAGTCCCAGTCACCTGCTACAACTGTAGACAGGGTGGACTTATGCACCGGAATTGCCCCAAGAGGCATATTAGACCCCTGAAGCCCTGTCCTGTCTGCCAAGGAAACCACTGGAAGTCGGACTGCCCCCAGAGACTGAGGTCCCTTGGGGTGGGGCTGGCGACCAGTTGGCCCAATAGGACTTACGGGGCCCAGAGTCTCCCAACCTGGCTCCTCAGAGGACTGCCATCTCCACCCAGGAGCCCGGGGTAAGCCTGACAGTGGAGGGCAAGGAAATTAATTCCCTCCCTGATGCTGAAGCCACCTTCTCTGTACTCCTCCCAAACCCCGGTAAATCATCCTCAGAGAGTGTAGCCATTACAGGCAGGTCTGGGAAGCCAATAAGGAGATATTTTTCTCAGCCTTTAGGGCCTAGCTGGGGTAAGTCATTCCTTTCCCATGCCTTCCTGCAAAAAGCCTCATATTCACATCAGAAACAATGTCCTCTCAACCCTGAAGCTCTAGAAGGACTCAATATTCTAATAAGTCATCTGTTTTAGAAGCCCAAGGTTTATTGAAACCTTTTCATAGTCCTTACAATACCCCCATCTGAGGGATACAATGCCTAATAAAGGGGGAGGACTAGTTCTTATAACTAGTAAATATGACAGTGATTCCTATCCAGCCAATTGTTCCTAACCCGTATGCTTTACTTGCCCAGACTCCAGAGGACACCAAGTAGTTTACAATACTAGACCTCAAGGAGGCCTTCTTCTGTATACCCCTACATCCTAACTCACAGTCCCTGTTTGCCTTTAAAAGATCCAATAATTAAAGCAGTCAGCTAATATGGTCAGTACTGCCCCAGGATTTGAGGGAATAGCCCTCATTTATTTAGGCAGGCCTTTAAACAGCCCCAAAGGCCCTTTTACAGGCACCGGCTTTAAGTCTCCCAACAGGTCGGCAGCAACGACTCCTGGATACATCTATCTCGAGTAAAGCTTTGGACACCAGCCCAGGAGGAGGATGAAGCTGCATTACCCTCAACTGAGTCACCAAATTCCTATTTGTGTGAACCTCTAGAGGACCTGAAACTTCTCTTTCAAAGGGATCCTGAAGAGTCAATAAGTACCAAATAAGTAACAGTATACTTATCTGGTATTTCTAGATAAACAATGTTTTCATTTTTTTTAATTCTTATTCTGTCTTTTTATAAGTGTCATCTAAACCCTAGGCTGGTACCTGGAGGAGACCTTCCCTGTCCTTACTGAGACCCAGAAACACCACAAGATACTCCTACTTACAGCCCCTCTCTGTAACCCTGGTACAGTAAATTTCTCAAGCCATACTGGCTCCCCGAATCCCTAACTACTAAGTATGTTATAAGCAGCCCAATTCAGGGTCAAATAATCTCAAGTAGATATGTATCTCCCACATCTCTTTCAGAGTAAAATGTGCTAAACCTTAGTCTATAGAACAACGTATGCTACCACTACCACCAATCAGAACCACTTCTCAAGCCTCTATAGATTTTCACTCACAGAAAAGCCCTTGATTGAGCAGGGCAAAGTCTGTGCCATGAATAACACTTCTTGCTGCAAGCAGCTTAGCTAAAAGGAAGGCCTCATAGCCTCTTGCCCCAGAAGTCTGGGCACCAATTAAAGATATAATGCCATCCCTATTAGCTAACTCCCTTCCTCAGACCTTGGTTTATACTGTTTTATTATTACTCATCTTTAATCATTGCCTGTTATGTTTCATATCCTCCCATTTAGAAGCCCTAAAGCTACAAATGGTCCTCCACATGAAACCGCAGACGAAGGCCACTGCATCCATCATCCGTGGACCCTGAGTTAGCCCACTTCCGATGGGACCCTGACTGCCGCCCCGCCCCCCAAACTACAACCCCTTTGCCAGCAGGAAGCAGCCAGACAGATCGGTGTCCATTGTCCCCAACAGCAGTTGGGGTTTTCTATTCGGAGGGGGGACTGAAACAGGAATTTTAGGGGTAAAGTAGGACAGGTTTAGGAAATTTTAGAAATTAAGAGGACCATGGAAGAAGCACTGGGCTGAAGAGCAGCAGAAGGTACGTTTCCATAGAATAGGGGAGCTGAAAAGCTGCAACAGGTGCATTTCCACAGAATAAGGGAGCTGGGAACAGCAAAAGGTCTATATTTACAAAATAAAGAGAAGGAAGCCCTTCATCCAGAAGGAGAAGAAAACCCAAAAGGAATAGGAAAACAATAAGGAAGGACGGGGGGAACCTCACATGTTCCATGTGAGGTTCAACCTTTGAGCCCAGGAGTTACTATAGTGACTAGTCCAAGGGAATAGTGACCAATCAGAGGGGATATCAAGGCAACAGGCTCTGCAGCCTTTATAAGCCATAGGGAAAAGGAACTCAGTGGGACACTTTCCCTCTCCCCACGTGGGAGTCTGTACTTGTTCTTCAGTAAATCTCCACCTTTGCTATACTACCCTCTGTCCTTGGATTCATTCTTCAACTCCAGTGGACAAAGAATCTGGGTTCCAGTCCAAAATTTTCGTTTCACTTTCAGTGTATGGGAGGATGCTCAACCAACTGAGCCACACCAGCCAAGATTTAAATGCTTATTCTTAAGTGAAAGGAGCCATTGTGAAAGCTACATACTATATAGTTCCAAATATATGGCAAAGGCAAAACTAGAAAGACAGTAAAAAGATCATTGGTTGCCAAGGTGGGAGGACTAGATAGGTGCATAGGGAATTTTTACAGCAGAGAAACTATTCTGTATGATGCTGTAATGGTAGATACATGACATCATGCTTTTGGCAAAACCCATAAAATTGTACAGTATAAAGAGTGTGATGTAAGCTATGGACTTTAGTTGTTAGTAACAGATCCATATTGATTTATCAGTTATAAGAAATGTACCACACAGATGTGCCAATGCAAGAGCAGCAGATAATAAGGGAACTGTCTATACTTTCTGTTCAATTTTTCTGTAAACCTAAAACTGCCCTAAGAAATACAATCTATTAATGTTTTTTAAAAAGAGAGACATATCAACCAATTTAAATTGAACCTATTTTGGATCCTGATTCTAACAAAATAACTGAAAAGATATCTTTGAGCCCAGGCCAGTGTAGCTCAATTGGTTGGGTGTTGTCCTGGGGCACTGACTACTTTCTGTTCAATTTTTCTGTAAACCTAAAACTGCCCTAAGAAATACAATCTATTAATGTTTTTTAAAAAGAGAGACATATCAACCAATTTAAATTGAACCTATTTTGGATCCTGATTCTAACAAAATAACTGAAAAGATATCTTTGAGCCCAGGCCAGTGTAGCTCAATTGGTTGGGTGTTGTCCTGGGGCACTGACAGGTTGTTGGTTCAATTCCAAGTCAGGGCATATGCCCGGACTGTGGGCTTGATCCCCAGTGGGGGGTTTGCAAGAGGCAGCTGATTGATGTTTCTCTCTCTCTCTTTCCCTCTCTCCCTTTCTCTCTTAAAAAAAAATCAATAAAAAATCTTTTTAAAAAAATCTCTTTGAGACAACTGGGGAAATTTGAATATGGATAAGTAATAGGTAATATTAAAGAATTATTTGGACCAGTTCCAGCTGGGAGTGGGGGAGTTATGGGGTTCTTTTGGGACTGGGTGTTGGCATCCCTTCTTGAGGTTCCCAGAGTATACCCTCTTAGGTGAGCAGTGCTGGGAGCAGACTTTTTGTGAGTTTATTTGAGCCAAACTGTTGACAATTTCCAGGAAGCAGAATCTCAACATATTGGGATAATGTTCCAGAGAATGGCAGTTTTTCACCTTGTTTTATACATTACAATTAAAGGAGACATAAGTGGGTTGTATGAAATCCACTGGTGATAGATTAGGGAGGTGGGAAAAAGCAAAGGGGGGGACCTCTGGGATTTGATAAAAAAAATAAAACGATAGACACATACTTCTTTTACTTAGTTGGGTACAGAATAGTTAACACTCCACAATCAACAAGAACAATGAAGGAATTTATGGCATCAGTTCCAGGGCCCAGGTGCATTTGGTTGTGCCCTGAGGGGTCCAGAAAAAGGGAAGTTACAAGTTACCCTGACATTTCACAGGGATGTTATCTGAGATGCAAAAAGACAACAGGCTCGGTTAAGGTAAAGATTGACCTTTGTCAGGGAAGATACTGTCCTAGGACATGACTACCCACTATAAACTGCTTTTACTTAAAGTTTTAATTTCAGACCATCCTTTGTGGTTACTTTAGGCCTTTGAGTTTGTAAGACTGCCATGCAGGCCTTCCCTGAGTTTGTCAGGTTAGCATGTGGCCCCTTTTTTTCCATCCACAGGAGTAATGGAGTTTAATGCAACATTCATACTAGTTGGTTCTCTAAGTGTGGCCCCCTTACCAGCAGCATAATCATCCTCTGGTCATGTATTACAAATGCAAATTTTCAACAAACACAAACACCCCACAGACTTGAATCAGAGACCTGCTTTAACAAGCCTTCCTGGTGAAACCAATGTCTGCTCAAGTTTGAGAACCATTTCTTTTTATAATAATAAAAATCTTAGTAGTAGCAACAAAAAACTAATTAAATTGTGGCAGAACCTATTGGAGATGTATTTATTTAAAACCTATTTTGTTAGGTCTGGCTGGTGTGGCTCAGTGGTTGAGCGTGGGCCCATGAACCAGGAGGTCACTGTTCAATTATTAGTCAGTGCACATGCTCCGGCTTGATTCTCAGTAGGGGGCATGCAGGAGGCAGCCGATCAATAATTCTCTATCATCATTGATGTTTCTCTCCCTTTCTCTTCCTCTCTCTGTAATCAATAAAAACATATTTAAAAAAAAATAGAAAGGCCCTGGCTGGTGCTTCTCAGTGGTTAGTGATGGCCCAGGTGCCAAAGGGTTGTGAGTTCGATTCTGGTCAAAGGCAGGTACCTGGGCTGCAGGTTTGATCCCCGGCCCTGGTTGGGTGTATGCAAGAGGCAACCAATCGATATGTCTCTCTCATATCAATTTTTCTCTCTCTCTCGCTCTCTCTCTCTCTCTCTCTCTCCCCTGTCCCACCCTCCCTGCCACATGCTCTCTAAAAATCAATGGAAAAAATCTCTTCAAGTGAGGATTAACAACAACAACAACAACAAAAACAGAAAGCAAATTCTGACCAAAAAGGATTTTTCAGGAATGACTGACTCAACAGCACTATAGCATCACATATTAGTTAGAAGAACAGATTTGGACAGATTAGTTCTAACTAACAGATTAGTTAGAGCAGATCTTCTAAT